CTTGAGCCACAGGCGCCGAGCCGGAATGATTCCATTGTTAAGAAAGACTAATCATTCTTTCCAGTTACTCAATTACATGTATGTGTTCTGTTATGTATGCTACCCTGGGATGGGAACTTGGGGAGATGTGAACTGGGGTAAGAAGTTCAAAAAAGATCCAAAATATAATTCCCTTTTGTAAATCAATTCCTATGTAATAAAGAATTGAGAGGAACAAACATTGCTTATTGTTTATTTTTAAAGAGAATGAGTTTAAACATGATTTAATATTATAAAATAACCAATTAACTTCAAAAGAATACAGTAATTATAGTAGAACCGCCAGAGTTGACCACCTCCCGTTAACCTAATTTTCATAGACCAGAGATGCACCACATGTACGTATCAGCACAGCAGGCCTATTTCCTTATATTGATCAACTCCACCTGTTGACCACTTTGTGATAGTGCCTTGGGCAGTCAACTTATAGAGGTTCTACTGTATATTACACTTGCCTTAATTCCATTTACAAGTTATACAAATTAGAACACATAGTAAGTCGATCACCAAAGGACTATAACAAAATGGTCAATACACAGAAGTGTTCAACATAAGGGAGTAGGCCTGCTGTACTGAAGTGTACATGTGGTGCTTGTCCAGTCTATGAATATTAGGTCAACTTAAGGAGTCTATGAACCTCCAGCCAACTTAAGGAAGTGGTCAACTATGAGGTTCTACTGTATTTACTGGCTATATTATCAATAAAGTGGTAAGAGTAATGTAGAGGAGTGGGTTATACATACTTGTTTTAGCAAGGAGAGTGTAATTATTTTGGCAAAAAATATATAGAAAACTAGAAAAGTACAGTATAAAAACATGCAATGTATATTATAATACACTAACCAAGTAATTGAAAGCAATCTCAACGGCTATCAATCTAAAATGATACATACCTAAAAAGTAAAAATAGCAGCAAAACCATGAACATTGCCCAACAACGACGGTACACTTAGAAGAAAATGTTCGGGCACTGATTATACTTGTCTGACAGGCTACCTGTGTGAAAGTATCTGCATATACACTTTGGGGCATTCTTGCAAAACAACACACCTCATGCGGGAACAAGGTTCCTTAGAGGAGCAGAAGCAGAGTCTTCAGTGAATCCTAAAACACTAACTGCAGCTAGGCATGGAAGCTCACACCTGTAATCCTAGCACTCTGGGCTCGGCACCTGTGGCTCAAGTGGCTAAGGTGCCAGCCACATACACCCAAGGTGACGGGTTCGAATCCAACCCGGGCCCACCAAACAATGATGGCTGCAACCAAAAAAAATGGTCAGGCGTTGTGGCAGGTGCCTGTGGTCCTAGCTACCTGGGAGGCTGAGGCAGAAGACTCACTTGAGCCCAGGAGTTGGAGGTTGCTGTGAGCTGTGATGCCATAGCACTCTACCCAAGGGGGGCAGCTCGAGGCTCCTGTCTCAAAAAAACAAAAAAGAATCCTAGCACTCTGGGAGGCTGAGGCGGGTAGATTGCTTTAGCTCACAAATTCGAGACCAGCCGAGCAAGAGCAAGACCCCATCCCCCCCCAAAAAATAGCCAGGCATTGTAGCGGGTACCTATAGTCCCAGTTACTTGGCAGGCTGAAGGATTGCTTGAGCCCAGGAATTTGAGGTTGCTGTGAGCTATGACACCACAGCATTCTACTGAGGGTGACACAGTAAGACTGTCTCAAAAAACAAACCAAAAAACCCCACACTGACTAGCACTTGTGGATAGTGACCTTCAGGAACTCACTTAGTAGGAAGTGATTATATCACAGGTAAGCAATTAGAAGCAAGGGATGCTTATTGATCCAAAACCTGAAATGCTATAGAACTGCATGTTGTTTACTAAGGAGATCTGAAGAAATGACTTTCATGTTTGGATCAGCTCATGTCCCATCAGAAGGCTATTCGTTAATAGCTACTGTGTCCCCTGATTAAGGCTGCCTTTCCCGCTCAAGCCAGATACACAAATACTACCAGCATACTTATTTAGCTTGAAGTGCTACTTCTTATAGAAAGGCAAGCAGATGGAGAAGACCCAATTTTCTGGTTGATACAGATCTTATCTCTAAGTTGAAAGAAAAAAGATGAATAAATTATAAAATATCTTCCTTAAGGTACTGTAGTTTCTCCTAATGTTCATAAGAGTCTCTCTTGCTGGAGGCAGCACAGTATAGGAACATATACAGTCCTGAGGGCAGGGAGTAGGATGCAAGTAGGTAGTGGGTAGAGAGAGCATTTGGGTCTTTACCATCAGCGCTGTCACTAATTAATAATATCAATTATGGTGAGTCATTTAACCTCTAATTTCCCATCAGAGAATGTGAGAGTACTTTTACTCGTATCTAAAGAAAAGAGATCCACAAAAGCACAAAACCAGTAAAAATCACTCACCACACACACCAAGAGTCTTTTTCCTTCCAGTTTGTTGAAGGGGACTTTCATAGTGTACAAAATAAAATTCTATTCTGTAGGGCGGCGCCTTCAAACCAGCCCTGGTGAAACTACAACAACAAAAAAAGATGGGCATTGTGGCAAGTGCCTATAGTCCCAGCTACTCAGGAGGCTGATGCAAGAGAATCGCCTAAGCCCAAGAGCTGGAGGTTGCTGTGAGCTGTGATGCCACTGCACTCCACCAAGAGTGATAAAATGAGACACTATCTCTTAAAAAAAAAAATTCTATTCTAAAATCATTCTACAAGAGTTTTTATATTAGGGCCAGGTGTGGTGGCTCATGCCTATACTCCTAGCACTCTGAGAGGCCAAGGAGGGTGGATTGCCTGAGCTTACCGGTTCGAGACCAGTCTAAGCAAGAGCAAGACCCTTTCTCTAAAAATAGCTGGGCGGTGTGGCAGGCGCCTATAGTCCCAGCTACTTGAAAGGCTGAAACAAGAGAATCACTTGCACCTAAGACCAAGGGTGACAAAATGAGACTCTGTCTCAAAAAAAGTTTTTATATTAAATAAGCTCTTATTGTTATTTCTTGATTAGATTAAAAATCACTCTTAAAAAATCAGGATGGTAATCTTAAAGTCAATTTAAAAACAGGGTAGTCACACACATTATTAAAATTTTCTCACGGTAAGTATACAAAAAAATCTAATTTAAATGAGAAAGACAATTTAAGATTATGCTTAGTAATTAAATATATTTTTGAAAGTAGCACCATTTGTTTTTGAGAATACAAACATAGTAAATACTTGGTAAGGTCCACAGACAAATGAAAACTTATTAAATTACATATATGTATCATTGTATTTCTCTTAGTTAAATTTAATACATCCTCTATGTTAAAACAAAACAAAATCACCAACTCCATACAGAAACAACAAAAAACACCCAAAAAACCACCAAACCATATTGTCAAGCAAAATATTTTTAATTAGTAGGTTGATCATAAATAAATCCACATAAAAGATTTAACAGAATACAAAGAGTTTTGTGTTTCCTTTGTGGACTCCATTCATAATATGCATTAGTCAACCTCATTCTCTAACCATGACAAAAAGAGCTGTCATCCAACAATGCAGCACAGTTACAGCAATTCATATTCTGTAGTTAAATTTTTACATTTTCTTTACAAATGTAACATTTATGTACATTATATATATACTTTTTCTATAGTCCATGTGCTGAAACTCTATTGTTTTTACAGGGAAAATGTTGAATTCATTTAATGAATAAGAATCATTCCTTGTTAAAAAGTAATTCATATAAACAAAGAACACGGTACCACTGCCTTTTGGCATCCCTTCTCAGAGTTCAAGTCCAGAAAGGTTATATTAATTATAAGAAAAAAGAATTTATCTAATTTTACATTATGACATATCATTCCACATAGCTACATAAATTTGCCAGCTTGCAAGGAACAGAGCACTGTACTGCCATACTACTGGAAATGTGTAGAAACCAATTTAAAATATACTTGGTGCAAACAACACCATCATTACCATTAATTTAGGCTGAAGAAAATCTGTCACATTCTTTGTTCCTCTTTTCCTTTTGCCAAAGCCTCAGACAGGGTGCTGTGCATTGGGTCTTGTAACAATAAATGACTTCATTTCAAATATCCTATGCACTTCTCTGACAGATTATGCTCTACCTAGGATATAGATCTTTTTCTTCTCACTCAATTTTATTCTATTTCACTTACAAATCTGCTGCTGAATATGAAGCAAAAATTCATAGTAAGAGAACGCAGCTTCTGTCCGGTCTTCAATCAAATGCTGAAAAAATTCTGTTTTGGCAGGACTCTCATCTCTGAAAAATAGAAAGGGACATTTGTCTAAAAATGTACATTATTAAAAAGAATAATTATACATTGAAAAAAATAACTAATACATGGAGACATCGAAAATGGAACTCAAGAGGGTATGAATCAAGTAACAATATTTTAACATCAGAACATATTTTGATATTATTTCAAGTTTGTTTTGAAGATAAGCAGTTTCACACAGATTGCACAAAAAAAGAAAACTTCATTATTAACTTACAAAAGTACTTACTTTACCACATGAAGGATTGGACTTAGTGGTCTGCTGTCTCTAAGCCAAGTTATAAAGGATCTGGCTCTTTCTGATGAAAGCGTATCTAGCTCTGGAAGGTGTGTCTGGTAAAAGTAATTTGGAAATTATTTTGTTTCTTACACACTTTAGCAGTATTAGCACTTAATCACAATTTCCACTATCATCAACCAACTGCCAGCACTCTACTCCCCAGCCCCAACAGCAGCAACGGAACAAATGAAATTTAAATAGTTCACAACTATGTTTCTTTCTTCTTGGATAAGTCAACAAAATATATTTAATGATAAGTATGTCACTGATATTTTACCTGAATATTGTATTTTTCTGGAGAAGTCAATAAAACAAACACAATCATTAGTATGTCACCTGCACCTTTATGTGTTTTTTTTTCACCTGCATGTTTCTTCTAAAGGAAATATTCACACGAAGGAAGCTACCACTTGCATACCAAATTCTCTTATACGTTATATCTTATTCTAAAAATAGACACGCTGGGAAAACTTCATGTGCCAAAAAAAACTTACACACACTTTAAGAGATGTTACCTATGTATTACTTTTGAAGTTGAACTGAGTTATGGCAGCAATATGTAGTATGACTGACACTCACTCAAAAGATGGCATTCATGGCCCGGCGCCTGTGGCTCAAGTGGCTAAGGCACCAG